ACGAGGTCAAGAGATCGAGACCATCCTGGTCAACATGGTGAAACCCCATCTCTACTAAAAATACAAAAAATTAGGTGGGCATGGTGGCGTGTGCCTGTAATCCCAGCTACTCAGGAGGCTGAGGCAGGAGAATTGCCTGAACCCGGGAGGCGGAGGTTGCGGTGAGCCGAGATCACGCCATTGCACTCCAGCCTGGGTAACAAGAGCGAAACTCCGTCTCAAAAAAAAAAAGAAAAATTAATTTGGCCAGTCATGGTAGCTCATGCCTGTAATCCCAGCACTTTGGGAGGCCGAGGTAGACAGATTGCCTGAGCTCAGTAATTCAAGACCACCCTGGGCAACACAGTGAAACCCCATCTCTACTAAAATACAAAAAATTAGCCAGGTGTGGTGGTGCATGCCTGTAATCCCAGCTACTCCAGAGGCTGAGGCACAAGAATCACTTGGGAGGCAGTGACTGTAATGAGCTGAGATGGAGCCACTGCACTACAGCCTGGGCGACAGAGCAAGACTCTGTCTCCAAAATAAATAAATTAATAGATAAATAAATAACATGTTTAGGCTGGGCGCGGTGGCTCATGCCTGTAATCCCAGCACTTTGGGAGGCCGAGGTGGGTGGATCACGAGGTCAAGAGATCGAGACCGACCATCCTGGTCAACAAGGTGAAACCCCGTCTCTACTGAAAATAAAAAATTAGCTGGGCATGGTGGTGCTCGCCTGTAGTCCCAGCTACTCAGGAGGCTGAGGCAGGAGAATTGCCTGAACCCAGAAGGTGGACATTGCGGTGGGCCGAGATCGCGCCATTGCACTCCAGTCTGGGTAATAACAGCGAGACTCTGTCTCAAATAAAATAAAATAACGTTTAACTTAAAAAAGTCTTTTGAATCTAGTTTTATCCACCTTCAATGCCCTCACCGTCACCTAAATGACTTCAATAGTTTAACTAGTCCTCCATTCTGATCCAGTCCCACAAATAGCAGCGAGTGTGATCCTTCTAAGATACAAACCTCATGGCTTCCCCTGCCTCTGGGATAAGAAGCAAACTCTTCAGTATGATTCTTGAGTCCTTCCCCTCTGGTGGCTTCATTCCTTACCATTAGCCCACATGGTTTCATTTCCCTGAAGGTTCTCTCCCACCTTCACCTCCCTGTTCTTCTAATTTCTTCCTTCAGAGTTTAGCCTTCCCTAATCCCCCCAGATCAGGTTCCCCATTATACATCTTCACCAGAAGGAGAACTGGCAGAGTGAAAATTTACCTTTATGTAGGCCAAGGGCTAGTCATTCTTCCAACATTCTATGACAGATTCACCAGTTTGTCTTCTGAACTACATGCCAGCAGGGAGTCTGTAAAAGAGGTTTTGTAACAATGGTATATTTCCAAACAAGTGAGTTTGGAAGCTCTTGGCCCCCTGAAGTTTCCCTGAAAATCTGACATGAGGCAGATTGATTAACAGGAGAAAAGGCATACAAATTTTATTTAATGTATATACCCAGGAGTCTTCAGAATGAAGACCCAGCTCCCCCTCCCCAATAAGGTACAGAAGTTTTTTTTTTTTTTTTTTTGGTCCAAGCTGAAGTGCAATGGTGCAATATTGGCTCACTGCAACTTCTGTCTCCCAGGTTCAAGCAATTCTCCTGCCTCAGCCTCCCAAGTAGCTGGGATTACAGGCGTGCACCACCACACATGGCTGATTTTTTTGTATTTTAGTAGAAATGGGGCTTCACCATGTTAGCCAGGCTGGTCTCAGGTGATCCTCCCACCTTGGCCTCCTAAAGTGCTGGGATTATAGGCATGAGCCAACATGCCCAGCCAGGTACAGGTGCTTCTATACCATCTTGAGGTTACAGAAAGAATGGAGGCTTGGATCCTGGTAGAATAGGTTATGGGAAGGGGGAGCAGAGGAATTTTATTGAGGGACAACAAAAGATTACTAGGAAGAATGACTGGATGGGGATCAGAAACTGTAAACAGTTATCTTTGGAATTTAAATGATTGTTGAAGACAGTTATTACCTTGAAAAAGGGTCTGTTCATATGTGGTTACACTGTTCTCTTCTGCAACAGAAAGTGAGATAACTGGGAGAAGAACAAGAACTCTTCTCCTTGGTGGGTCAGTCATATCTTTATGTAGACAGGGGAAAAGTCTCTTCCAGCACCTTGATCTCTAACGGTTTTCAATTTCAGATATTATGTTAGGCACAGTGGCTCATGCCTGTAATCTCAACAAATTGGGAGGCTGAGGTGGGAGGATTGCTTGAGCCCAGGAGTTCAAGATCAGCCTGGGCAACATAGTGAGACCCTGTTCCTAAAAAAAAAAAAAAAAAAAAAAAAAGGCAGGGTGTATGGTGGCTCACACCTGTAATCCCAGCACTTTGGGTGGCTGAGGCGTGTGGATCACTTGAGGTCAAGAATTTGAGACCAGCTTGGACAAGATGGTAAAACCCCATCTTTACTGAAAAATACAAAAAGTAGCCAGGCATGGTGGCACACGCCTGTAATCCCAGCTATTGGGGAGACTGAGGCAAGAGAACCAACCGGTTGAACCTGGCAGGTGGAGGTTGCAGTGAGCAGAGATCACACCACTGGACTCCAGCTTGGGTGACAGAGTGAGACTCTCCCAAAAAAGGAAAAACTTAGCCAGGTGTGGTGGCATATGCCTGTGCCTGCAGCTTCAGCTACTTGGAAGGCTGAGGTGGGAAGATAATTTGAACCCAGGAGATCAAAGTTGCAGTGAGGCCAGGTTCCATGGCTCCTGCCTGTAATTCCAGCACTTTGGGAGGCTGAGGTGGGCAGATCACCTGAGGTTGGGAGTTCGAGAAAAGCCTGACAAACATGGAAAAACCCCGTCTCTACTAAAAATACAAAATTAGCTGGGCATGGTGGTGCATGCCTGTAATCCCAGCTACTCAGGAGGCTGAGGCAGGAGAATTGCTTGAACCCAGGAGGTGGAGGTTGTGGTGAGCCGAGATCATACATTGCACTCCAGCCTGGGCAACAAGAGCAAAACTCTGTCTCAAAAAGAAAAAAAAAGCAAGCAGCAGTGAGCTCTGTCATGCCACTGCATTTGAGCATGGGCAACAGAGTGAGACCTTGTCTCAAAAACTAAACTAAAATAAAATAGTCATTATACTAGGGAGCCATATTTTGGGGTGAAATATTTTTATTTCCTTCAACTGGCTAAGCTTTACCATTGCATATGGGAGGGAAACTGGATCAGAAAAGAGGCAGGGCTGAAAAGAACGAGACGCATGGGAAACTTAGGACAAAAGGTGTGCACCCAGATAATGTATACGACCTTTCCACCAGCTCCAGACAGTAATGTGATCGCAGTGTGTTTCACTTTGGGGGTCCAGCCCCACTTAATCTACTAAAGTAATGTCAGAGTGGGTTTGGGGTGGAAAACACCAGCAATGGTATTCTGAAAAAGCTCCCTAGGAGGTTCTTTTCCTTTTTTGAGACGGAGTTTCGCTCTTGTTACCCAGGCTGGAGTACAATGGCTCGATATCAGCTCACCGCAACCTCCACCTCCTGGGTTCAGGCAATTCTCCTCCCTCAGCCTCCTGAGTAGCTGGGACTACAGGCACGCGCCACCATGCCCAGCTAATGTTTTGTAGTTTTAGTAGAGACGGGGTTTCACTATGTTGACCGGGATGGTCTCGATCTCTTGACCTCGTGATCCACCCGCCTCGGCCTCCCAAAGTGCTGGGATTACAGGCATGAGCCACCGGGCCCGGCCGAGATGGGGTTTTCAACCATGTTGGCCAGGCAGGTCTTGAACTCCTGACCTCAAGTGATCCACCCAACTCAGCCTTCCAAAGTGCTGGGATTACAGGCCTGAGTCATGGCGCCCAGCCTCCCTAGGAAGTTGTATTGTTCCCAAAAAGTGAAGAACTACAGGTGAATGTTGAAAGGTATGCAAAAGATGAGATGGGCGGATTGCCTGAGCTCAGGAGTTTGAGACCTGCCTTGGCAGCATGGTGAAACCCCGTGTCTACTAAAATACAAAAAAAAATTAGCCGGGCGTGGTGGTGGTGCCTGTAATCCCAGCTACTCTGGAGGCTGAAGCACGAGAATTGCTTGAACCCTGGAGGCAGAGGTTGTAGTGATTGGACACACTGCCACTGCACTCCAGCATGGGCAACAAAGTGAAACTCTTATCTAAAAAAACAAAAAAAAAGCCAGGCGCGGTGGCTTATGCCTGTAATCCCAACACTTTCAGGATTGAAGCGGGTGGCTCACGAGGGCAGGAGATGGAGGATGGCTTGAGCCCAGGTGGTGGAGGTTGCAGTGAGCCTAGATTGTGCCACCGCACACGAGCATGGGCAAGAGAGTGAATCCTGTCTCAAAAAAATAATAATTAAAAGCAATAAAAATGGCCGGGCGCGGTGGCTCCTGCCTGTAATCCTAGCACTTTGGGAGGCCGAAAAACCCCAGCTACTTGGGAGGCTGAGGCAGGAGAATCGCTTGAACCCTGGAGGGGGAGGCTGCAGTGAGCTGAGACTGTGCCACTGCACTCCAACCTGGGCAACAACAGAGCGAGACTCCGTCTCAAAAAAAAAAAAAAAAAAAAATTAAAAACCGTCATTTCCTCTTCTGGTGTCTCAGGGCTCTCGTGTGCCAAAAGAGGGTGCTGGGCAAGATGAGATATCTTGAACACGTGCCTACAGAACTCGCAGGGTTCGGGGAGAAAACGAGCAGGCTAAATTCTGCGGGGCAGCCGGGGGGTACCCTGGAGCAAGGTATCGCCTCAGCAGGCGAGCACGTCGCAAGGCTGCCTCGGGAAAGGTAGAGCCCCTCCTGCACCGCTGCTCAAAGGGGAGCTGTGGCCAAATGGGCGACGCTCAGGTCTACCCTCGGTTTTCCCCTCCCTCCTCGGTCTCCACAGTGCCTCCTGGCGCCCATGTCGCCGTTCTCCCAATATTGTCCCTTCCCTCATACTCTACCGCGAGCCTGGGGGAGGCCAACGTCATTTCCCTCACGCGTAGCGCGCTTGCGCCAACGCGACGGTCGCTCTTCACGCGGAAGGATGCGCGGCAACCGATTGGCTGCGTGTGTACGTCGGCGGGAGGACGCGCGACACGGCACCGCCCCTCCCTCCGTGGAACCTGCTCTGTGGAGCCAGTGGAGCCGGCAGCTTGGCCAGGTGGGAGGATCCGCACCGCATCGCAGGACGGGACCGCTGATCCTGCAGCCGCTCAGCGCCGTGACCCGCGACCCTAGATCCCAACTCCTTTTGGCTCAGCCCGCGCGCCCCAGGCCGGGCCCGGGCGGCGCGACGGGAGGATGAGCGGCGGGCGGCGGAAGGAGGAGCCGCCTCAGCCGCAGCTGGCCAACGGGGCCCTCAAAGTCTCCGTCTGGAGCAAGGTGCTGCGGAGCGATGCGGCCTGGGAGGACAAGGTACGGTGGAGCCTGAACAGGGCGCGGGTGCGAGGAGCCGGCTGGGACTCGGGGAATGGGAAGACCGGCCCGGGCCTGCCCTCGCCCCCTTTGCGGAGCGATCGAGCGCGTGGCCCAAGGGTGTCAAAGCGAACTTGGCGGGCTACAGGACGGACAGCTGGGCTTGGGAGCTCCCCGAAGGGTGGCTTAAGGATGAAGCTCCCTGGTCATGAGGGAGCGGCGAGGAGCGGGGAGAGGGGTTGTCATCCGTGGGCAGGGCGTGCGCCTGAACGGGGAAAGGGAGCTGAATTCCATTCAGTCTCCTCCCTTTATGTGCAGTAGGGTCTTGAGTAAGTTACTTGTCTCTTAACACAGTCGTCGGCGCAACAGTAACGGTAACAGACTTTACTGATTTCTGCGTGCCAGGTGCTCTCCATGCGGAGTCTTAATTAATTCTCAGAATAGCTCCAAAGTGGGGTACTCTGGTGCATTAAAGCGTTTTGAACACAGTGAGGCTCGCTGATCTTGAGCTGCTGTTGCTTGTTGAATGAAAGGACGGAGTACTTTGATAAGCGTGAATCCAGACGTGAGACTAAGACCACCCCGTGGGTGAGTGTGAGACTTTGGGGTGGAGAAACGCGCCAAATACGCGCGAGAAACGGTTGGGACTCCAGGACCTTCTTAACTCCTCCCATTCGGAGGTTGCTTCGTAACTCTGCTCCATGATCTGGAAGGGGCCATCACAAGCAGCTTGATTTCAGGCAGCTTGAAAAGAACATTTTGTTTACAGTCGTTTCTTTAGTTTTCTGGACTGCCGAAGTGGGTTTTCCTTCCTGAAGTTCCCGTAAGGGGGGATGGGAGGCACTTCTGAAGGTGCCCTTGTTCTGCCACCATCCCTGCCCAGCTCTTACAAAACCTGCAGTCTCTAATCTGCTGTGTCATTTATTTATTTATTTGTGTAAGGACTGGTTTCTGCAATCTAAGGCAGATCAGAAACCTGAGTTCTTCTGTGTTCTTCCATGAAACTTAAAAATGCTGGTACCTGCCTCCAGCATTTTTCTTCTAATCGGTATGTATGGCCAGTAGCACAATTACTATCACAATCATTTCATTACAGGCTGCTTCATATATGCAGCGTCTAATATGTATGTGCAGCATCATTTTGCAGCTCTAGAATTTTGATTTAGAGCACAGGTTCTGGAAATGATCACTTAATGATGTCTGAATGTATCGTTTTCTACCACGTGTTAATAGAAATAAGAGGTGAAGCAGGAAGCACATACTGTTGCCTTTGGGGGAAAGAAATTCCCTGGATGTGTTTAGCAGAAAGATTTAATATTTCCCACTCTGGCTGTCCTGTGGCACCCACCCCAGATAATTGTTGCATTTTCTGTCTTTTCTACAGGATGAATTTTTAGATGTGATCTACTGGTTCCGACAGATCATTGCTGTGGTCCTGGGTGTCATTTGGGGAGTTTTGCCATTACGAGGTTTCTTGGGAATTGCAGGGTAAGTCTTAGATATCTTACTTTTTCATGGTATCATTTCTTTTTAAATAGAGGTTTCCTTTTATAGAAAAGGCCATTGCTGCTCTGGAGCACGCGTGTCTCTCTGTCCTCTCTCTCTCTCTCTCGCCAGTCCATTCATTCATGAATCTAAAGTGACCTCACACAAGAGGCTATCACATTACTTATTGGTGGCATACACTCTAATTCTGCTGTGACCTTTGTACCTGTGCAAGTTTGGGAAGCAGAAACTTTTGTATTTAATGACCATTTCCTTTGTGCCTGACACTATGCTTAATGTGCTAAACCTTGGATTTGGCAGAAGTTATTTCAGATCACTCCATTTTATTTTGTTATTTTTGAAACAGGGCATTGAAAGTGAGTCCACGTGCACATCAGATTGAGTTTAAAAGATGTGTGAGTCAGATGCAGTGGCTCATGCCTGTAATCCCAGCACTTTGGGAGGCTGAGGCAGGTGGATCACGAGGTCAGGAGATTGAAACCATCCTGGGTAACACGGTGAAACCCTGTCTCTACTAAAAATACAAAAAATTATCTGGGTGTAGTGGTGAGCGCCTGTAGTCTCAGCTACTTGGGAGGCTGAGGTGGGAGAACTGCTTGAACCCAGGAGGTGGAGATTGCAGTGAGCCGAGATCATGCCACCGCACTGTAGCCTGAGTGACAGAGTGAGACTCAGTCTCAAAAAAAAAAAATTACCTGGGCATGGTGGTGGACACCTGTAATTTCAGCTGCTCAGGAGGCTGAGGCATAGAATCACTTGAACCCAGGAGGCAGAGGTTGTAGTGAGCCAAGATCACACCATTGCACTCCAGCCTGGGTAACAGCAAGACCCCGTCTCAAAAAAAAAAAAAAGATGTGTGAGAGTTGATTTGAGATAGGAATCATGGGCAAGCTATTATAAAAGTGGATAGGAGAGGCCGTCCTTATATCTCTCTCTTTTTTTTGCAGTTTTTGATGTATCATAGTTGCATATATTTTGGGGGTACATATATTTTGATATGTGTATACAATGTGTAATGATCAAATCATGGTGATTGGTATATTAATCATCTCTTTTTTTTTTTTTTTTAAAGAGACAGGGTTTCACCATGTTGGCCAGGATGGTCTCGATCTCTTGACCTCGTGATCCACCCGCCTCGGCCTCCCAAAGTGCTGGGATTACAGGCGTGAGCCATCATGCCCAGCTGTGAATCATCTCAAACATTTATTTTTTTTCTTCCTGGCCTTTTCTCTTTTCATTAAGGCAGTACAAACTGTCACCCTTCCCCCATGGAAAACCACATTAATTGTTTTAGGGCTGACAAATCTCTTGTCATTCCCCTACTCTAGGGTAAAAGGAGTGAAACATATTTCAAATGTTTGAGTTGTCCGTTTTCTCAGAATATAACCCAAAAGGAATAAACAGTCCCCTCTTCTTTTTTTTTTTTTTTTTTTTTTTTTGAGACACTCTCGCTCCATCACCAGGCTGGAGTACAGTGGCGTGATCTTGGCTCACTACAACCTCCACCTCGTGTGTTCAAGCGATTCTCCTGCCTCAGCCTCCTGAGTAGCTGGAATTACAGGTGCCCGCCACCACGCCTGACTAATTTTTGTATTTTTAGTAGAGATGGGGTTTCGCCATGTTGGCCAGGCTGGTCTCAAACGCCTGACCCCTGACCTCAGGTGATCTACTCACCTCAGCCTCCCAAAGTGGTAGGATTAAAGGCATGAGACACAGAGCCCGGCCAGCTAGGACTTTAGATGAGTGCCACCAGGTGTGGCTATTTTTCTTTTTTCTTTTTTTGGTAGATACAGTGCATTGCTCTGTTGCCCAAGTTGGTCTCGAACTCCTAGGCTCAAACAGTCCTACCTTGGCCTCCCAAAGTGCTGTGATTACAGGTGTGAGCCGCCATGCCTGGCCTCAGTTTTTCATGTTCTTTTTTTTTACCCCTACTCCAGCAAGTTCATCTCTTTGTCTACATATATGCTGTGTAGTTTTCTCTCTCATTTACAAATAGAGATTATGCCTACCTTTTTTTTTTTTTTTTCTGGAGACAATGTCTTAATCACTCCAGCCTGGGCTGGAGTACAGTGGCATGCTCACAGCTTCTTGTAGCCTCGAGCTCCCTGGGCTTAGGTGATCCTCCCACCTTAGCTGCCTCCTGAGTAGCTGGGACTTTAGGCATGCATCATCACACCTGACTGATTTTTGTGTTTTTGCTAAAGATGGGGTTTCGCTATGTTGCCCAAGTTGGTCTCGATCTCCTGGGCTTAAATGATCCTCCCATCTCAGCCTCCCAGAATACAGGGATTTAAACCTGATATAGACCTGTACTTGTGAGCCACCACACTCCATCACTGCCCACCCTTCAAGCTCAGTTAAAACCCTTCCATCCCTTTCCTGATCCTTTGCTTTGAACATCAGGCATTAGATTTGAACTCTTTTGTTTCTGTGACTTCAGTCTCTACTTACTGTGTAAGCCTTGGAAGGCAGGGCTTATATCAGCCCCTTTCTCAGCCTCTTTCTTTCTCCCTGTCATCCCGGTTCCCTGAGTCTGTAGTCATTCTCCAGCCTTGGCTTATTATGTGCCTCAGAGTGACACTTCCAACTGCTGTTAGTCATCTCCATCCAGAGCCACTAAGTCAGCCTGTCCAAAATGAAACTCCTATCAGAGGAAGGTGGCCAGATTGGGTTAGGTGCCAAGATTTCTGACAGAAGATAAGGGTATGGTGGCAACATGGCCAAACTAAGGACTATATTTCTTTCTTCTTGACTCCCTATTTCTGTTCCTGCAATCATTGTACTCAGAGGCCCTTAGGCTTACAGCTTTGGGTCTTCTTACCCCTCCCCCATTCAGCCACTCGTCTGGTGTGCTTCCATGTCTTGAAATATGAGTACAGGTCTAAACCAGTTAGCCATCTTTTTTTCTTTCTTTTTGAGACAGAGTTTCACTCTTGTTGCCCAGGCTGGAGTGCAACCTCTGCCTCCCAGGTTCAGGTGATTCTCCTGCCTCAGCCTCCCGAGTAGCTGGGATTACAGGCGCCCACCACGATGCCTGGCTAATTTTTGAACTTTTAATAGAGATGGGGTTTCACTGTGTTGTCTAGGCTTGTCTTGAACCCCTGACCTCAGGTGATCCATCCACCTCAGCCTCCCAAAGTGCTGGGATTACTAGCATGAGCCACTGCCCCCCACCTAGCCATCCTGTTTCTTCCACTCGTGAGAAAGCCCATATTCTTACTGCTCACCAGACTCCTGAAGTATGAAGTAAGTATGAAGTATGAGCATCCTATCCCATCCCCCCCTTGCTCACATAGCCTCAGAGTCTCCCTGTACTCCTCCCCTGCTGATTTATACTCTGCACCACTGCACTGCCCTCCCCTACACCAGCCCACACTTCATCCATTGAGAGGAATCAGTTCTTGCATTTTTCCACCTCAGCCTTCAGAAGAGATGTGGCCTGAAATACACAGTCCCCCATTAGATTCGATGCAATAATTGGAAAGGGCCAGGCCCATTAGTTCGTGGTCTCTTCCAAAAATACAAAAAATTATCTGGGCATAGTGTAGCTGAGACTAGTCTCAGCTACTCAGGAGGCTGAGGCACAGGAATTGCTTGAACCTGGGAGGCAGAGGTTGCAAAGAGCCAAGATCGCACCATAGCAAGACTGTGTCTCGAATAAGTGAATGAATGAATGTAAAGATTACTAAGAAGGTCTTGTTCACTCTATGAAAACAAGAGATCAGGAGGGCAAGGATTTATCACTGCTTACTGCATTCCTGCATTGTCTGTGCTCCCTTCATTCCAACTCTTACACCAGCTAAGTATATTATGTGGGTCAAAGACATTGGGGGGTAATCACAAACTGCTGGTTTCAATTCCACTCTCATTGCTGGTTGTTTTTTGTTTTTTTGAGATGGAGTTTTGCACTGTTGCCTGTGTTGGAGTGCAATGGTGCAATCTCAGCTCTCTGCATCTCCATCTCCCAGGTTCAAGCAATTCTCCTGCCTTAGCCTCCTGAGTAGCTGGGATTACAGGCGCCCACCACCACACCCAGCTAAATTTTTTTTTGTATTTTTAGTAGAGACAGGGTTTTACTATGTTGGCTGGGCTGGTCTTGAACTCCTGACCTCATGATCCACTCGCCTCAGCCTCTCAGAGTGCTGGGATTACAGGCGTGAGCCACTGCACCCAGCTCATTGCTGTTCTTAGCTCCTTAATTGATGGTGAGCTGAGGGCAGGAATGGTCATCTTCATGTCTGCATCCAGTAACGGTAATAGACAGTGGACATCCAGAAATGGTCTCCCATTTGGGAGTTATACAGGGGAAATGCTATTGCCTGCTCAACTAGGCTGTGAAGCGGTAGCTTCACATGTGTTTCTCCAGTAGCCACCCCCTAGCTGGAGCTATCTGGAGTCCCATGTCAGGTTCTGTTTGGTCCTGTTTGGGATGGCTCAGCAGCCTTTCTGTCTTACTTCAAGAGGCTGGGAGAATTACTTACTCTCTCTATATACTATATATTATATATATAGTTTTCACTCTGTTACCCAGGCTGGAGTGCAGTGGAGCAATCTTGGCTCACTGCAGCCTCTCCACCTCCGGATTCAAGTGATTCTCCTGCCTCAGCCTTCTGATTAGCTGGGATTACAGGCACCCACCACAACGCCTGGCTAGTTTTTATATTTTTAGTAGAGATGGGGTTTCACCATGTTGGCCAGGCTGGTCTAAACTCTTGACCTCAAGTGATCCACCCACCTCAGCCTCCCAAAGTGCTGGAATTACAGGCGTGAGCCACCAAACCTGGTCCTAAGTTTTGACTCTTCTAAGCTTAGAGTTTATGTTTGGTACTTGTTCTCTCTCGCTCCAGATTCTGCCTGATTAATGCAGGAGTCCTGTACCTCTACTTCAGCAATTACCTACAGATTGATGAGGAAGAATATGGCGGCACATGGGAGCTCACGAAGGAAGGGTTTATGACCTCTTTTGCCTTGTTCATGGTATGTGTAGCTAATAGTTTTCCAACAGGTACTGTTCATTTCATGAGGTGTACACAAGAAGGGACCTCACTGATTGAGTTACACTATGCGATCAGGGTGCTATTTTTCTAAAGACTCAGAGGCTCAGGACCATGGCCTGTGTTGAACCATATCCCGGAAGATGTGGTGTGATACACTGTATGGTTCTTTAATGTGTAAATCCAGGGCCCATCCTTAGCTTCTACATCTGATTCTCAACCCTGGCTGTATATTAGAAACTAAGAGAGCCAGCCGGGTGCGGTGACTCACGCCTGTAATCCCAGCACTTTGGAAGGCCAAGGTGTGTGGATCACAAGGTCAGGAGATTGAGACCATCCTGCCTAACATGCTGAAACCCTGTCTCTACTAAAAATACAGAAAATTAGCCGCACGTGGTGGCACACGCCTATAGCGATTCTCCTGCCTCAGCCTCCCAAACAGCTGGGATTACAAGTGCCTACCACTATGCCCAGCTACTCCAGAGGCTAAGGCAGGAGAATCGCTTGAACCAAGAGGCAGAAGTTGCAGTGAGCTGATATCTTGCCACTGTACTCCAGCCTGGGCGACAGAATGGACTCCGTCTCAAAAAAAAAAAAAAAAGAAAAGAAACAGAAACTAGGAGAGGCTGGTGTGGTCACTCATGCCTGTAATCCCAGCACTTTGGGAGGCAGAAGCAGGCGGATCACCTGAGGTCAGGAGTTCAAGACCAGTCTGGCCAAAATGGTGAAACTCTGTCTCTACTAAAAATTACAGAAAATTAGCTAGGCTAGCTGGGCATAGTGATAGGCACTTGTAATCCCAGCTGTTTGGGAGGCTGAGGCAGGAGAATCGCTTGAACCCAGGAGGTGGAGATTGCAGTAAGCCGAGATCGTGCCCTTGCACTCCAGCCTGGGCAACAAGAGTAAAACTCCCAACTGAATAAAAAAAAGAAACTAGGAAATAGCTAAAAAGTACAAACAATCCAAATGGCCATCACTTGATGAATGGATAAATAAGATACTATATATCCATGTAGTCGAATGTTATTTGGCTTTAAAAGGGAATGAAGTACTGATAAATGCTATATAACACAGATGAACCTTGAAACATTATGCTAAGTGCTAAGAATCCAGACACAAAAGACCACATATTGTGTGATGCCATATGCAAAATGTCCACAGTGAGCAAATCTATAGTGGCAAAAAGTAGCTTAGTGGTTGCCAGTGGCTGGGAGGAAGGGGAGGGAGAATAGCTGATAAAGGAAACAGGCTCTTTTTGGAGTAATGTTTTGGAATCAGTGGTGATGTTTGCACAACTGTGTCCACACAGAAAACTTCTGAAATGTATACTTTATTTGACCCAAGGTCTCACTCTTTCACCCAGGTTGGAGTGCAGTGGTGCTATCTTGGCTCTCTGCAACCTCCGCCTCCTGGGTTTAAGCAGTTCTCCTGCCTCAGGCCTCCTGAGTAGCTGGGACTATAGACACGAGCCACCATGCCCAGCTAATTTTTGTTATTTTTTTTTTTTTTTTAGTAGAGATGAGGTTTCACCATGTTGGCCAAGCTGATCTTGAACTCCTAATCTCAAATGATCCGCTTTCTTTAGCCTCCCAAAGTGCTGGGACTACAGGCATGGGCCACCATACCTGGCTTTTTTTTTTTTTTTTTTTTTAATGGCTAGTCAAGTGAAGCAGTGGGAGTGGAGAAGGAACAAAGAAATCTAACTGGTTGTGATCAATTATTTGTAAACACCGATGCACTCGAACCAGCCTTTTTTTGTATTTTTTAGTTGAAACAGGGTTTCACCATGTTGGCCAGGCTGGTCTTGAACTCCTGACCTCAAGTGATCTGCCTGCTTCTGCCTACTTAAGTGCGGGGATTACAGGTGTGAGCCACTGCATCTGACTCATTTTTCGGTTGTTGTTGTTGTTTTTGAGACTGGAGTTTCGCTCTTGTGGTGTGTGCCTGGGACTACAGGCGCACACCACCATGCCCAGCTAATTTTTTTTTTTTTTTTTTTTGAGACGGAGTTTCACTCTTGTTACCCAGGCTGGAGTGCAATGGTGTGATCTCGGCTCATCGCAACCTCCACCTCCAGGGTTCAGGCAATTCTCCTGCCTCAGCCTCCCGAGTAGCTGGGATTACAGGCACGCGCCACCATGCCCAGTTAATTTTTTGTATTTTTAGTGGAGACGGGGTTTCATCATGTTGACCAGGATGGTTTCAATCTCTTGACCTCGTGATCCACCTGCCTCGGCCTCCCAAAGTGCTGGGATTACAGGCGTGAGCCACCGCGCCTAGCCTAATTTTTGTATTTTTAGTAGAGACGGGGTTTCACCTTGTTGACCAGGATGGTCTCGATCTCTTGACCTCGTGATCCACCTGCCTCGGCCTCCCAAAGTGCTGGGATTACAGGCGTGAGCCATCGTGCCCGGCCTCATTTTTCTTTTTTTAATTTTACTCATGGCCTGGCATGGGTGGCTCAGGCCTGTAATTACAGCATTTCAGGAGGCTTAGGCAGGCAGACTGCTTGAGTCCAGGAGTTTGAGATCAGCCTGGGCAACATGGTAAAACCCATCTCTACAGGAAAAAAAAATTAGGTGTGGTGGTTTGCACCTGTTGAATCCCAGCAGGACTCAAAAAGGAAAAAAAAAAACCCTATGTGTCCAGACTCTCACCCAAGCCAATAAAATCTTTCACACTGGTAGTTGTAGCACCTGCTAGCAGTGTAGTATACTTTACTTGAATCATTTCCACATCTGAACCTCAACTCCCTGGGCCTGAGGTTGCTATTTGGTAGGGGAGGAGCTTATCAGGAGTTTCTTTGCAAGTGCAGGTGGGCAGTCCTGGGCTCTGTTAGTGACAGCTTGATTCCATTGAAATAATTTAAACCCCTCAAGCAGATTGTGCAGTGAATAGCCCCTGGAGAGTGCCCTGTGAATACATTCTCATCCGGCATTTTTGTTTTGTGGAATCGGCCTGTGTTAACCCAGGTGACCTATGAACTGTGCTTGTCTCCTCACTAGGTCATTTGGATCATCTTTTACACCGCCATCCATTATGACTGATGGTGTACAGCTCCCACCTGCTCCCTGTCCCGTCCAAAGGACCCTCTTGATAACAGCACAGAAACTTGATCACTGGGGAACCCTAGCCCCTTGGAACTTGGAAGACCCGTGTTTCCTGGACGGCGAATCAGTGTATTGGGTGTCAGTGTTTTCTGCAAGGGTTGTGACCTGAAACTTTTTAAAAAACCACCCACCTTTGGGGAAGCATTTCTGAATTTATCCATCACCATTTCTTCTTGGATATCATCAAGTAACAGCTGTTTGCCAAGTGGAGCTGTCATTTAATTTGATGCACCTCCGGATTCAGATGAAACATTAAATTGTCTTCCTCGATTCTGCATCGGCTGTACAGTTTTTAAACTATCAGTGGCATTTCAAGTCTTCTGAAACAGCATGGCTGTATGTGCATGGTCCATAGCACAGTACAGGCAGCATCTAACAACAGTTTCCATTGTAGAATGTTTTCAGATACTTGAATAAATCAGCTCTTTAATTGAGAACCTGTTGATACCTGAAAAAGCCTTTTCCATCCCACCTGTAGCTTGAGAACCCAGTAGGAGCACTAGAGGTGGTGCCTCCCACCCTTGTCCCTCTTTTTTCCTCTCCCTGTTCCCTTAGCAGATCCAGCAGACCTCTTGCTCTTTATGGGAGCAGTAGGAAAATCAGGGGCTGCGTTTTGTGTAGGCTATGGCTGCAGTCTTGGCATTGTGGAGAGAGGTCTTAGCATCTTCTGATGCCCCTGCCCAGCATTGAGAAAGGTGGCCTCTCTGCAGTGTGCTAGACCTAAGAGATATTATTTTGTATTTGGCCACAAGATGGCAAGGCCAGTATGTTAGGGAATGGTAAGCCACAAAATTAAAATACAAATCTGAGAGCTAAGCTGGGTGCAGTGGCTCACACCTATAATCCCAGCACTTGGGGAGGCCAAGGCGGACAGCTCAGTTGAGGTCAGGAGTTTGAAACCATTGTGGCTAACATGGTGAAAACCCATCTCTACTAAAAATACAAAAAAAATTAGCTAGGCATGGTGGCATGGGCCTGTAATCCCAGCTACTCAGGAGGCTGAGGCAGGAGAATTGCTTGAACCCAGGAGGCAGAGGTTGCAGTGAGCCAAGATCACGCTATTGCATTCTAGCCTGGGCAACAGAGCAAGACTCTGTCTCAAAAAAAAAAAAAAAAAATCTGAGGGTTGGGGCTGTTGTCCTCAGTGGGGGACATTTGAAGACCTAGACTATCAGAAGTCTTTCTCTTTTCTCTGGGTGTCACGTAGAGGCTGGACCACCCAAGATCTGCTGTTACGGTAAGACATCTCAGCTTTCCCTTCTAGGCCACAGTCCAACCTGCTGCAGTGTGGTGGTGGTCTCAACGGGACTTGTAAATTTTCTGAAAATGATTTTCTCATTGATGCTAGGGGTTGTTTCTACGTTGCGGGTGGGGCCTGGTTAATAGTGGGGATGTGGAATGGGACTCATCAGGCAGGGCATCCAGATGGTACTGGCAACCCCAAACTCAAGAACTGGCTGGGTCACACCCCCAGGAGGCTTACTCTCTTTTTGGAACCCTGGCCCTGCTCCCAACTTTTCTGTACTCAGACTAGAGGCTGCAGGTAGGACCACAGCACAGGGAAGAGGTAGGTGACTTCCTAAGGCCAAGGGAGGAAAGAGCAAGGTACAGGTAGGACCCTGGATGCACCTCTGTCCCAGCCCTCCCTCACTGAGTGCACAGCCGTGCCTCTAGCATGCTTAGGAGGTTGGGCTGAATTGGGGTTCTAGGTGCCACAGCCTTGGTTTCCCTTTCTGCCTCTCCTTTGGGCCTAGGCATCATCCAAAGAGACAGCCTCCTCAGTCAGGCTGATGTAGGAGCTAAGTGACTCCCGGAGACCCTCACTGAGAAGAGATTCCTCCCCTGTGGCAGCTTCAGAAAACAGGAGGGAGCTGTGGACAAAGGAAGAGAACTGGGTCAAGAAGCCTCTTTCTCCTCCCTGCATTCACTACACACAAAAGTGCACTGTTCTCAAAACCTCTCACTCCTGCTGAAGACCTACCCCGGTTTTCTATCAGATCAGCTCCCCCAGCCCCACCTGCCGAGCCTGGGCTGGGCTCCAGGAGTTAAGTCAGTGCCCTCTGGCTCTGCTCCCAGGTATCCCTGAGTATGACAGGTACATTCTGGGTTGTGGGTTCCCAGGGGTGGGTCCTTCTAACTCTTGGTCCCACTTTCATGTTTCCGGGAGTTCCCCCACTTTACCTGTCCAGCTCTTTCCAGTTGAGTGGTGTCCTCTGCACAGTCACAGGTAAGGGCATGTCCTTGCCAGGGAGCGGGCTAGCCCTCTGCAGGACACAGGGCTCCTTGAGGAGGCAGCAGATGTCTTCAGCCAGCTCTGAGGAAGAGACCCCCATCCTTGACATGGCCGACTCACCCTGTTTCTCCCCAACAGCCCTCACCCTGACAGCCCTCTACACGTGGCAGAAGGGGGCGTAGCTACCAAAGAGGGACAGGACATGAGCCCCAAGCTGTTGCTTTCATGGAGACAGATAACGGTCAAAGGTCTTTCTGGGCTAATTTTGGGAGACAATCCACTGTATGATTTAGGGTGAGTTAATGGACCTCTTGAGCCCAAGTTCTGGTTAGGAAAGTGCTTTGGGAAGGAAAAAGCTAAGGAATGCCCAGTCTCTACTTCCACTGGCAGTGCCTGCTCCTGCAGTGGGTGACCTGCAGAAAACCCCCATGAGTTTGCTAGGAGTGCTCTTCGCTCTCTGTCCCCTGATCCTGTCCTTAGGGAGTCAGGATCAAATCCCACACAGCAGCAGCTTTGGGCCTGGTTCCTGTGGAGAGAACTGCTGCCAGGGGCTCTGAATCAGAACCAGAGGGGTAGGCAAGGTACCGACCCGAGCCTACAGAGGAGATCTGTGGCTTTTCTGCCGGGCATGAAGTAAAGACAGGGCTCCCAGCCTGCATTTCTTGGCACAGGGCCTGGCATGAAAATAGGGGAGGCCTCTCTTCTGTCTGAATACTCCATAGCAGGTAAAACATACAAGAGCACAACTGCCTGCTCCTCCCCATATACTATCCCAGCCTATTCCTGGAGTCAGAGAAAGGCCATACCAGAGTAATGGTCCACCAGAGCCTGGAGTGAGGGGAAGGTGAGGCGCGGTGAGATGTACAGCCAGCCATTGTCAAGGCGCTGGATCCTGTAGTGTCTGATCCGGTCCCAGGAAGCAGGGCGGCTGAGGCGGACTGACAGGGAGTAACAGCCTGAGGAGAGAGGGGTCCAGGGTGTCACCAAGGCCCTGCTGGGACTCAGTGCCACCCAGGTTGGGAAACAAAGATAGGAAACATGGCCACAGGGCCCCAGCAGAAGGGAAGCGTCTGGGGCAGAAGCAGGATAAAGACTTGCTCTCTTGGTCATCAATATCACGTTCATAATAGATGGGGATCTTGTGAGGGTGAAATCACACACACAGAGCTCTCAGCACAGAGTCTGGCACTGTGTACTTGAACATTCAGCATTGGCTATTCTTAGACTCAGGTGGCAGAAGTGTTAGGATGTAAAAACATTGTCAGTAGATGGCGGCAAGGAGGTAGAGAAGTAGGAGCTCCCAGCCTGCTGGTGGAAGAGATTAGTACAAGCCACCTTGGAAATAGTTTGGCATAAACTAGATGAGCTGAACATGCACGCACCCTACAACCCAGCAGTTCTACCCCAGCATATTACCTTAGAGGCACACAAACAAGGATATTCATGGCAGCATTGTTTGTAAAAGTCAAAATGGCTGTAATCCCAGCTACTCGGGAGGATGAGGCAGGAGAATTGCTTGAACCCAGGAGGCGGAGGTTGCGGTGAGCCGAGGTCACGCCATTGCACTCCAGCCTGGGTAACAAGAGCGAAACTCCTTCTCAAAAAAAAAACAAAAAAAAGTCACAATGGCAAACAGCCCATTTGAGCTCAAGAGTAGAATAAATTGTGGACTATAGAGTGTAATACTATACAACAGTAAAAATAACTGCTACATACATAGGCATAAGTAAATCTTGGAAATAATAAGCAGAACAACATTACGGAACATACATTCAGCCGGATTCTATTTAAAGTTCAAAGACAGCCAAGATGACCTTATATGTTACGCAGGGACACACAACAAAGCTCTGAAGAAAAGCAACTGAATGATTAACACAGTGACGTACGAGAGGGGGCTACAAAGCATTTGTTAGGTAATTTCCACTGGGAAGTGGGCACATGGACGTTATTTTTATTTTATTTATTTATTTATTTTTTGAGGTGGAGTCTTGTTTTGTTGCCAGGCTGGAGTGCAGTGGCATGATCTCTGCTCACTGCAACCTCTGCCTCCTGGCTTCAAGTGATTCCCCTGCCTCATCCTCCTGAGTAGCTAGGATTATAGGCATGTGCCACCACGCCCAGCTAATGTTTTGTGTTTTAGAACAGATGGGGTTTCACCATGTTGACCAGGATGATCTCGATCTCCTGACCTCATGATCTGTCTGCCTCAGCCTCCCAAAGTGCTGGGATTACAGGCGTGAGCCACTGTGCCCAGTCTACTTTTATTTTTTATTTTTATTATTAATTTTAGCAATTATAGTGGACAATAGCAATCAAATTATAGACCCATGAAAGGGGCAGTTTTGGTAGAAGAAGCTTGAGTAGTCCCTATGGTGGTGCTTATGGATCTGGTGTTGAAAGTGGTAGCTATAGGCCAGGCGTGGTGGCTCACACCTGTAAGCCCAACACTTTGGGAGGCCGAGGTGGGTGGATCATGAGGTCAGGAGTTTGAGACCAGCCTGGCCAAGGTGGTAAAACCCTGTCTCTACTAAAAATACAAAAATTAGCTGGGCGCAGTGGCAAGCACCTGTAGTCCCAGCTACTTGGGAGACTGAGGCAGGAGAATCGGTTGAACCTGGGAGGCAGAGGTTGCAGTGAACTGAGACTGTGCCACTGCACTCTAACCTGGGTGACAGAGTGAGACTCCATCTCAAAAAAACAAAACAAAAAACAACTGAACATCACTTGTTAATGATGAGGATATATAAAATTAAAATTTATTTTAAAAATAACTGGGCCAGGTGCGGTGGCTCACACCTGTAATCCCAGCACTTTCGGAGGCCAAAGTGGGTGGATCACCTGAGGTAGGGAGTTCAAGACCAGCCTGACTAACATGGAGAAACTTCATCTCTACTAAAAATACAAAATTAGCCAGGCCTGGTGATGTATGCCTATAATCCCAGGTACTTGGGAGGCTGAAGCAGGAGAATCACTTGAACCCAGGAGGTGGATGTTGCAGTGAGCTGAGATCACACCCCTGCACTCCAGCCTGGGCAACTAAGAATGAAACTCCATCTCAGGGAAAAAAAAAAAAAAGAACTGAACATTGGCCAGGGACAGTGGTTCATGCCTGTAATCCAAGAACTTTGGGAGGCTGAGATGGGAGAATCACTGAAGCCCAGGAATTTGAGATGGGCCTGGGGAACATGGCGAGAGTCTGGCTCTACAAAAAATTTAAAAATTACCCAGGTATGGGTGGTGCATGCCTGTGGTCCCAGCTACTCCAGAGGTTGAGGCAGCAGATTCATTTGAGCCTGGGACATTGAGGCTACAGTGAGCCAAGATTATGCCACTGCACTCCAGCCTGGGCAACAGAGCAAGACCCTGTCTCAATCAATCAATAATCCCAGAACTTTGGGAGGCTGAGGCAGGTGGATCATGAGGTCAGGAGTTTGAAACCAGCTGGGCCAACATGGTGAAACCCCATCACTACTAAAAATACAAAAAAATTAGCGGGGTGTGGTGGTAGGTACCTGTAATCCCAGCTACTCGGGAGGCTGAGGCAGGAGAATCGTTTGAACCTGGGAGGTGGAAATTGCAGTGAGTCAAAGTTGCGCCACGGCACTCCAGCCTAGGTGACAGAGCAAGACTCTGTCTCAGGGCAAAAATTAAAAATAAAATAAAAATAAAAACAACTGAACGTCAAGTGAGGCATGATGGTTCAAGCATACAATCCCAGCTACTCAAAAGACTGAGGCAGGAGGATCCCCAGGAGTTCAAGGCTGCAGTGAGCTGTGATTGTGCCATTGCACTCCTGCCTGGGCAACAAAGCAAGATCCTATTGCTGAAAAAAAATTGAACATCAGTGTAATTCATCAGATTAATAGAATAAGAGAAAAAATACAGGCTGGGCGAGGTGATCACGACTGTAATCCCAGCACTTTGGGAGGTCGAGGTGGGTGGATCACGAGGTCAGGATTTCAAGACCAGCCTGGCCAACACAGCAAAACCCCCGTGTCTACTAAAAATACAAAAATTAGCCAGGCATGGTGGCAGGCACCTGTAGTCCCAGCAACTCAGGAGACTGAGGCAGGAGAATCGCTTGAATCTAGGAGGCAGAGGTTGCGGTGAGCCAAGATCATGCCACTGCACTCCAGCCTGGGCAACACAATGAGATTCTGTCTCAAACAACAACAACAAAAAATCATGATCACCTGAAAAAATGCAGAAAAATCATTTGACAAAATTCAACACCCTTCATGATTAAAAAACAAAAGCAGAAAACATGAATAGAGTGTGTTAGTTTCCTATTGTTGCTGTAACAAGTTACCATCAATTTAGCAACTTAAAATAACACAAAGTATTATTTTACAGTTCTGGAGGTTAGAAATATGAAATGAGTTTCACTGGACAAAAATCAAGATGTCAGCAGGGCAGTGTTCCTTTTGCAGGCTCTAGAGAAGAATCCATTCTCTTTTCTTTTTGTTTCTAGAAGCGATAGGCATCCCTCTGCTCATGGCTCCTTCCTCAGTCTCCACAGCCAGTAGCATCTTCCTGCCTCTAACTCTAACCTTCCTGCCTCCCTCTCATAAGCATCCTGGTGATTATACTGGGTCCAACTGGACAATCCAAAATAATCTTCCCACCTCAAAATCCTTAATCACGTCTGCAAACTCTTTTTGCGATGTAAGGTAACATTCACAGGTGCTGCGGATTAGGACCTGAACATTGTTGGGGGATGATTATTCTGTCTACCACGGAAGCATACCTGATACAGAGCATCTGTGAAAAATCTACAATTAAGGCCAGGTACAGTGGCTCACCCCTGTAATCCCAACACTGAGAAGCTGAGGCAGGCAGATCACCTGAGGCCAGGAGTTGGCGACCAGCCTGGCCAACATGGTAAAACCCCCTCTCTACAAAAATAGAAAAATTAGCTGGGCATGATGGTGTGCACCTAAAATCTCAGCTACTTAGGAGGCTGAGGCAGGAGTATTGTTTGAACCCAGGAGGCGGAGGTTGCAGTGAGCTGAGATTGGGCCACTGCACTCCAGCCTGGGCGACAAGGCAACACTAAGTCTAAAACAAAACAAATCTACAACTCACATACTTAATGGGAAAGATTGATTATTTTCCTTCTGAGGTTGGCAACAAAGCAATAATGTTCTTACCATTTCTACTCAATGTTGTACTAAGGGTTCTAACAAGTGCAAGAAAAAGAAAAGAATATGGACTGGAAAAGGCACAGTACAACTGCCTTTACTTACAGATAATACAGTCATATGTAGATAATCCTAAGGAATCTGTCAAAAAGCTACTAGAACTAAAAAGTTAATTTAACAAGGTGACCCAAAATCAGTATGCTTTGAGAAGATATTGACACCAGTAGGGTCTCTGCTTCCTTTTGTTATTTTTGCCTGATTGGGAGCCCTTTGACCTTTGAACTTTAATTCTTTTTTTTTTTTTTTTTTTTTGCAACAGAGTTTTGCTCTTGTTGCCCAGGCTGGAGTGCAATGGCACAATCTCGGCTCACCACAACCTCCGCTTCCTGGGTGCAAGCGATTCTCCTGCCTCAGCCTCCCGAGTAGCTGGGATTATAGGCACCTGCCACCACACCTGGCTAATTTTGTATTTTTAGTAAAGACAGGGTTTCTCGTTGGTCAGGCTGGTCTTGAACTCCCAATCTCGGGCGATCCACCCACTTTGGCCTCCCAAAGTGCTGGGATTATAGGTGTGTGCCACCATACCCGGCCTTTTAAAAAATTTTTTTTAGAGACAGTTTGACTATGTTGCTCAGGCAGGACTCAAAATCCTGGGCTCAAGTGATTCTGTTGCCTCAGCCTCCCAAGTAGCACTACAATGCCAGCTTGTATTCTATACCTTTGAGGAGAGTCTCTTCTTGAGCTGTGCTGTAACCCTGAAAAAACGCTGGTTGGGAATGGGCTAAATATTTGAAAATAGGCCCAAAAAGCCAACC